ATTTATGTGATAACAAATATAGCGTTAATTATGAGTGCACTAGATATCACAGAATTTTACATGATTTTTTCAAACGGGGAGAAGGCTGTTTAACTATGGAATATCAGCGAATCCAAACACATAAAGCAACCAACGGTACAGACAAAACGCTTGCTACGATAATAATATATTGCTAGCATGCTTTGTTGCAATATACATGGTTGAAGACATAGCTTGATCGGAATCGAGAAAAGACATAATAAATAAAAGAAAATCCCAATAACACACGTGTATCATCTTCGGCTTTACTTCGTGAAGCAGCTTGGGAACAATTTGGTCACTTCCTTCTACGAGCTGTGTTGCAGGCAGCGTTGCCAGTATCCCAGATTTATCTGGATTATCCAGATTTTTAGTCGTCTTGCCGAATACACAGATATACCACGTATATTTCCAGATTTTTTAAATATCCCAAGTAACATTGCAAGTTTGATCATGGTTTTAAAACATTCTACAAGTCCAAATCATGGTCTTCAGAACCCTAAAAAAAAACTCTAATTGTTACTTGGGATGTTCCAGATTTTACCAGATTTTTTAAAAATGTTGCTTCAAAAATGTCACTGCAATTGATTTACCATCTAATCAAAAAATAAAATGCCAAATTTGCTACTTTAATTATTAACGTCCATCAACGTTCGACATTATTGGAACTTTCAGGTAATTCTAAAAATAGTTCCCAGTGAAATGTAAGGTGAATTCCTTGTGAAATCAAACGAGAATTTCAAGCTAATTCTGAGTGGAGTTCCATCCATCTTTGTGGGCTTCGTGGTCATGCGACTTCACCCGTCGTTCAGGCGTATTGTGAGTGAGACGAAGTGAGGGTTCGATTTCTGCTCCAGCCGGTGCTGGTCTACTGGGTGTGGTGTGTTGTCCGTTGTCTAGTGTTAAATATTCAGTCTATACAACCTCTGGTTGAAGAAGGTGTCAATTGTCTTGTCAACGCTGATGGAGAATTTTTGAATAAAGGAAATACAATCCGAAAGATAAATCATAGAAAATTCTTATGATGAAACTTAAGGAGAATGCTGATACGAATCGTGAGAATAATTTCAATTGAATTCTGTCCATTTTTTTGATTTTAAGACATTTCAATGGTGAGGCGTTATTTCTGGGAAACGTTCAAAACCATTTTGGCAATGTACTTGAATAATTAGGAAATACTGAAGAGGATTTCAAAACAATGTTTACCTACAATGCAGTTCAAACGGAACTATCGGATGCGTCTGAGAAGATCGTGACGGTTATTCTGAAGAGTGTACCAAGAAAATTATTATGAATTTTTTTTCCAGAATTTGATAGAGAAAAACGGACACAAAATTCTACCAATTCTTGGGAATTATTACCAGTTTGATGGAATAGTGGAATTAGATAAAAGATTACAAGAGGTAATGCTAAGAACTCTTATAATGTTACTGGAAAAGTTTGGATATTATCAAAATTATTTTAGGGGAATATAGAAAAGAATTATGATGGAATTCTAGGATGATTCAAATGGAACTAAAAAAAAGGGCGAAAATATCCTGAGAAGAGTTCCAAGTAAAATAAAACTAACAAAAAAATTTCATGATCTGGGAACCAGAAAAAAATATAAATTCCGGAATTTAGAATCATTTTAAGATTCTGAGACTTCAAAAATGAAGCTATCAGCCTTTCATTTTAGTAATATAATAAAATTATTGTTTGACCTAAAATTATTCGTAATGGTCATGCGAATAGTGGAGTTATACGTAGTTAAGGTAAACTTTGTGTGAGTACCACGATGTTAAACTTTGCTTCCCACTTCAGTCAGGTGAATTTTGCTTCAAAATAAAATTGCCTACTGGTCTACTGGGTGTTGTGTGTTGTATGATGTCAAGAATTAAATTGTAAATCTGATCAACCTCAGGGTAATATTAGAATTATTTAGAACTAATAAATTCTTTAAACTCTGGTATTGCATCACATAGTAAGGACTACATCGACTATTAGTTTAAAAGATCCATCCCATCAAATTTGCTTGATTCCTTGCTTCTCATTCTTTTTAAAAAAAAGTTACAGTTTAAAAAAAATCTAAAAATATTTTCTGCAGTATTTTACCCACATTTAACTCATTTACTTTAAATTAATTCCAGATGATCAAACTGATCAATTTTTACGGGAGATTGGTGCATCACATTTCAATAGCATTATGTTAAAAATTGGATTTTTTTTAAGCATTCCAGATTTTTTCAGATTTTATATTTTAACTGGTCCAGATTTTTCTGAAAATGACCTGGCAACGCTGGTTGCAAAGGTAGTTTGTTATGAAAAAGAAGGAAGAAGATTAAATCACTATTGCCTTCCATTTCTGACAAAGCGCTATCGTTCGATATTTTTAATTTTGAAATTTTAAAACTATAACACTTCGGAAATTTCAATTTTTTTTTATATGACTATATTGATATGGCTCGACCGAATTTACTTTACACAGTCGAGGATTCTTGTTCACTATACAATACATCTTTAAACTATAGTCAAAAGTACAACACAATAAACATTTTATCTTCCGCTTTCCAATAAGCCTCCTCCATCAGAACGGGAGCCGCTTCCGGTGGTTTCGTTGTATGGTAGATTCGCCAACGAGGGTCAGAGCGCTTCCATTGCAGCAATGGATGCAAAACGTGGTCAGCACTCACACATTCATCACGAAACGGTTGCTTTCCAAAGTCGACGACGCATGGACTGAAAGAGCTGCTGATAAAGAGGAGGACAACACAATGGTTGCTGCTGAGTAAACAGACGATCGCGTGACACACATTGAGAGAGTCTGCTTCTGTCGACCGCCGAGTGAACACTGAAATTTCGAATTACAAATGTGCCTATTAGTTGGCCATTTTCAACCAGCTCGTGAATTTCCGGCAAGCGCTTCCAATTATTTGATATTAAGTACACGCAAAATTCAGCATATTTGTGCATTGTTGCAACATGCCAAAGTTGGCTAGTTTCTATGACAATCGGTCTATTGTGCTAATTTACTACTAATTTTACTATCAACTGTTTTACATATTCTACTTCTAACCACTGGCTTGCATACAATGCCCACTACAATTGTGTAATTATTTCATAGTTGTACTAATCTATTAATACTTTTGATAGGTTCATGTACATTAGAGTGGGACAGCATTACAACTGCTCTTTCAATACACATTGACGTCCAAAAAACTATGCAAAATTTTAGCGGATTTGCTTATGATCTGGATTTGCCGGAGAATTATAAATTGTGAATGGAAAATAACACGAACATCATTTGCTAGTCAAAAATTCAAAAATTGCTTAGTTTTAACCAATTGTCGGATATAGATTGGGAATACTATGCAGACCAACTATGTCGAAGACTGAAAATTGAGTGAACTTCTGTTTAAAAAGTTATTAAACTTTTATTTTGTCCATATGCTTCACTCATGCTCATAATACGCCTGTAGGTAGTGTTGAACAATAGGCCTATAGTAACATAATAATAATAACTTCTCAGAAGTTAAAACGATTTGCGGTCTTGGACAAAGTTGTTTTGCCTAGTATTCCCAATCTAAATCCGATATTTGGCGATTTTTTTTATTTTTGGCAAGGAAATGCATTATTTAGTATAATTTTCCATGCATTTTCCCATATAACATTTAAAATTCTCCCGTAAATCTAGATCATATCCAAACTCGCTCAAATTTCGCCCAGTTGTTGGGGACCTCAATACGCATCGAAATAGCAGTGGAAGCATAGGGTTGTAATCCACCAAATAAACTTAGGGCCACTCTAATGTACATATTTACTAACATTTACTATCTCTGGAGTTGAGAATCACTTAAGACTAGAGACTCCAAGCCCAGTTACTGCTAGAGAAATGGCTGTATACAGTATGAAAAGCTCAAATTAAAAAAAAATACCATAAATTTGAAACAGACGGCTCCAGCCTGTTCTACTAACATTTTTCATTACTATTTTACTGGCTGCAGAATCGAAACCACTAAATCACTACAGGCTGTGTAATCGAGACACCTCTAAATCAACTATACATTGTCCAAGAATTAAAGCTTATTGGAACAAACATTATCCCATTTGGATTTAAATAAATCAATATTATTGCATTACTTCGGAAGGCCACACCATTTCCCGAAAATCCACAGACGGAAGTACCCACAGCGAAAAAATAAACAAATTTTCATAAGGATTTCCGCATATCTTCCTAAGTTCCACCAAATCCCGATAATAAAATTCATCTAATCATCGGCCTGTCGGTTGATGGAAGTGCTTTCGCAGCTGGATAAATCTCAACTACCCCTGCTTTATAAGAAGAGCTGAAAAGAAAAAAAGAAAATATTCCACACATTTATCCTCCCGAGATGGGGTGTGAATTCTGCACTTGTACATGACGCGAAATACACCCTGCAGGCATGCTGCGGAGGAAAAAAAAATATAAACATATCGAAACAGAAGCACCGGAACGATTGCACTTTTTGCTCCACTCCCTAATTCGATAATGAGAGTGATTAGATTATAATCTCGTTTCTCCTCGGTTGCCGGGAGCGGATTACACGCATGGGCCGCCCCCTACCCTCGTAGGGTGAATGCTCAACAATATGAGTCTTGTTTTCCATATAACAGTCGGAATGCTCTTTCTCAGCTGAAGAGATTTCAATCAAAAACTCTCATTGAAGGAACATTTGGAAACGGTGCTTTTCGGGAAGGGTCGATTATAGACAGTTGGAACATACAGCGGTTCGTGACTAAGACTTTCGTCGACGGCTTTTCAATTACGAATTTGGACTGATGATGTCGTGAATGGACAACGATGACCGTCAGATGTCTTCAAAGGCAATTAAAAACTAATGTTTCACACCAGCAGATCAGCGGATCAACACGGAATGGACCTTGCGTAACACGTGTCAATGATTATCAAAGGATTTTCGGACAGTACTGGCCAACGGCCTAAACCATGTTCGTGTCTTGTTACAAAAAAATTGCATTTATTAGGCATATTTAGTCTATGTACAAACGCTATATTAATCTCTATGGGAGATTTATTGACTTGATTACCTTGTATCATTGTCATTCGAGTGTGTAACTATACTAGTGATAGGTATTGTAAACAATTGGTTTAGTAACTAAAATTAAAATTAAGTAACCGAATAAGTTAAATAAATGACTATTCTTGGTCTCATGGTAATAAAAATTTACCAAATACATAGTGGGAAAATTAATACTATCTTCATAGTAGGATAGCCGCATGCTCCGGTAGAGTATTGATGTTTTCTGACTCAAGTGTTATGAGAAAAAACAAAGTACAATTTCTGCGATTGAAGATCAAGTACATGATTGTTAAAGGAAAATTTTGGCATGTGCAAACTTGGTTAAAAGAAGAACAAGGACTATTGATCGACGAAACGGTGTTGATTACCCATTAGAGTGATTCAAAATATCGATTTTACTCCACCATGCGCTCAATTGATTCTACATCAGGTAATTCTGATCTGATCTTATAATTCTCCCAAAGTTTAAGGTCATTTGCTTGCGATCTCATACTCTTCTTCTTCTTCTTCCTCGCATTTCAAGCTTATTGCGTATGGCATATTAGCTTATTGCGTGCTCTCAACTTATTGTTCTAGATGCACTTCCACAGTTATTAATTGAGAGCTTTCGATGCCTGTACCATTTTTGCATTAGTATAATTGTGTGGCAAGGCAAGTACAATCATACTCTATGCCCAGGGAAGTCGAGATATTTTCCAACCCGAAAAATTCCTAGACCGGACCGGGAATCGAACCCAGCCACCTCCAGCATGGTCTTGCATTGTAGCTGTGCCTTTACCGACTGAGCTAAGGGAGGTCCCATACTCACCTGGCCCTTTAAAGTTTATATGAGAATTACTATGGGACAAGTGAACTTTTTGTTCTCCTCGTTATAGCTTTTCACCATGATGATTTACGAGTTAGCTTGGTATCTGTAGGAATTTCTCTCAACTAAAACATTACTAAAGGCCAATTTATGATTGAACATCAGGATAATTAATTACTGCATGCTCCATCAACTACTCAGTAGGCAGCATTGGTGAAATTGACGCGAATAATAGGCGAAAAAATCCAGGCAACTATGTTTTAGTGCCCTGCCGATTGATCAAATCAGAAAGTTATCGGCTTCGAAATTAACGAAAAACAAATTATCAAAACGTTTATCTAAAAACTGGTCTTCAGCAAAGTTGTAGCTGAGAAAATTTACTATTAGAAAAAAATAGCAAGCTAACACGTAAATCATGATGGCGAAACAAAGAACAAAAACTTCAATTATCTTGCAGTAATCCCCATAAAAGGGACAATGCAGTATGATATTACAATCAAATGAGTTCAAATTTTGGGAGAATTATCAGGACCTGATTTACAATCTATTGAGCTTAATTTAGCAACATCGATATTTTGAACCACCCTATTGCCCATGTATATTCGTTACTGCTATGAAATTACTCAAAATTTCTTTCATAACTCACAAATAGTCCGGACGTGTTGCTAAATGTGATCTTTAAGATTAATGATTACCACCCATGATTTAATTGTTGAATGCTGATGCAATTTAATGACCAATTTTGGTACTTTTTTCCAGTTCTTACTACTTTCCTGGGGATTTTCGGAACAAGTCCGGATGTGGCAAAATATGGTCCAAAAGATTAAGGGTGTATTCGTGGAAAATGACACATACATAAACAGTTGTAACTTATTATCTATTATACCAAATGACATGACATTTTCAGTGAAGAATGTTTAGTTCATGACGTACATAAATAGTTTAACTCGGGTTATAGTCATGAAAACAACATGTGTCTAATAAATTTTGTACGGTCCCACATTTGAAATCAGCGGCGGTTATGCAAGGAAATTCTTTCGACATTGTGGAATCTTGGAACCAAGCCAATTTTTTTGCAAAATACGACCTTAGAGGGGATTATGTACCGTCCAAAAAAAAAAAAACCCTACCAAGAATTTGATTTTTGGCATGCTAAAATATAAAAAAAAAACTAGTTTTTGATACCAATAGTAATTATAGCATGCTGTGGGTCCATATTTTAAAAATGTTTGTATTTACACACAAAATTTGTGATTTTTCTTTTAAAGTATACCATTCCGTTGCCTATGGCTTGAAACGGATAATGTGATTCGAATTAAGTCGATTGGTTATATCGTTATCGAGAAATCGTTGAAAACGTACCGTGTAAATTGCGGTTCAAACGGCGCCGGTGGTGTAGTGGTAAGCTTGATTACCTCTCACCCCAGAAGGCCTGGGTTCAATCCCAGTCGGCGCCGCCGGGATGTTCTGAGGCATAACATCTCTGATCACGCCTTCCTTCGGAAGGGAAGTAAAGCCGTTGGTCCCCGGTTCATGAGTTGATGGGTCGATAGGTAGGGTCCAGGTGTGGGAGCTGCCTTCCTGGCACGTCGGTAGCATTGGTGCTCAGCACGGAAAACAAGATCGACGAAAAAAACAAACCAAAGGAAAAAAAAAAAAAAAAAAATTGCGGTTCAGCGGCACCAACCGTGTAAAAAAAACTAATATTGCGCAGTTAGTTGGAAATTTTACTTCAAAAATTTGTTTCATTTTGAATGAAAAATCAAATCCTTTCAAACCAAACAAATAAAAAGTCAGTTCTAATACAGTTTGATGCGTCGCATGACCGGATTTGGAACTATTCAAGATATGGCCGCTATCCCGGGGGCGTCCGGAACAACCACAGAGTGGCCTAGGCAACTGACGGCACTCAAAATGTTTTCAAAATCATGAAGTGTTTAGGAAGAAAACGATATTGACTCCTTTTAAAAACAAATTTAAGGAAAATTGTACTGGGGGTTATTCCAAGAGTCGAAGAGACTTTTGTCATTAGTGAAGTGAGAAAAGTCATGTCGTGGTGACGTGACTTTCCATTCGATTTGCATAGAGAGTTACGTCAACATTATTTATGAACTGATTTATGATCATCAACCAGTGGTTCTAGTTTTTGAAAAAAAATATAATATTTCAGATATACAACCAACATCCAAAATTAGGAGCTGCAGAAAAATAGCACATTTGACATAACCTCAAAACACCCCGAACATTTTCGGTGTCCGACAGCCACGGATATGCTTGAAAAAGAATAAATCCCCGTCGAATTCATCCATATTGATGATCGGTTAATAATTCACGAAATTTTGAGAGAGCGTTTATCTATCAAACTATAACATTAGCGACAGTGAGCGAGCGTATATTTATTCAACACATTCAACCATAGCTAAAATCGTTTACTCGCTCTCATGCATACGATATCAGGGTGTTGGGTCATTACGCCGAAGTACGTTAGGTCAAATGGGATAGTAGGCCGAAGTATGTTAGACCAAATGGGTCATCAACACTGGTTCCTCCAAGAGGAGGCCATGAGAGCATGACATTTACACTGATAAAACTGCGCTAAAATCGCTAAAGTAAAATTTGAAGTTTGCAAGCTTATATCACGGCAGTCACTTGATGAATTTTAGATTTATTTTTATAAATTGATTTGAGTCTATGGTAAAGGGGGACATTCGGGTAAAACTAAAAAAACGATTTCGAATCGCGTTGGGACTTGGTGAACTTGACGAAAGTTCTATGAACATCTCGAAAGATCTATTAACACCTCGGAAGTTCTATGAACTGTTCAGCATCTATATGAACTGCTGGTAAGTTCTATGAACTGGTCTATGATCGTCTCGAATGTTCCATGACCATATCAGAAGTTCTATCAGAGTTTTTAAAGTTCTATAAACTTCTCGGAAGTTCTATAAACTGCTTGGAAATTCAATGATCATCTCGAAAGTGCTACGAGAATATCTGAAGTTCTATGAACACCTCGGAAGTGCTATAAACATCTCGAAAGTTTTGCGAACTGCTCGGAAGTCCTATGAACATCTCGACAGTTCGATGAATTTCTCGAAAATCCTGAGAACTGCACGGAAATTCGATGAACTGGTCGGAAGTCCTAGATACATTTCGGAAGTTTTATGAACATCTCGAAAGTTCTATTGACCGCCCAGAAGATCAATGAGAGATATGTTTTAATAAAGACAATAATAATAATACACCTTGGAAGTTCTATGAACTTTTTGGAAGTTCTTTCAATATCTATAAAGTTCTATGAACTGCTCAGAAGTTCTATTAGCTACTCGAAAGTTTTACGAACATCTTGGAAGTTCTATGAACACCTTGGAAGTTTTATGAGTTCAGAAGCAGTTGACCAGATGCTGTTCTGAAGATATTCAAAAGTTTAACCATTCAAGTCGCGTCCTTCAGATATTTTTTAAAGAAATCAGGTTGACTATTCCAAAGACCACCAGTTGATCAAAGATCTCCATAACTTCCTTTACATATTTTTTCAAGACTTCAGGTATATCAGGTCTGTTCTGAACTTCTTCAACTGTCCAATTATTGAAGTCACGTTTTTCAGATATCTTTCTAAAGGTATCTGAAAATATTTCAAAGAACTTCAGAAGATTAAATATCACCAAAAAGTCCTTTAAATATTTTTTCAAGACATCAAGTTGGTCAAGCATTATTCTGGAGATCTTCAACTGTGCAACAATTCAAGTCACATCTCACAAATATGTCTCCCGGATTTTCTCTCAAAATTTCTAAAATCTCCAAGTTGATTAAAGGTCTTCACCATTTGGATATTTATAAACGACTTCGGGTTAATCAGGTATTGCTCCAAAGATCTCCAACTGTCCAACAATTCAAATCAGAAGATTTGTTTCCTTTGTTCGGAACATAACACCACTGTGACCAGTAATTTGATCTAGGTATTGTAATATATCCAGTGTCCTTAGTTTAGTGCATGTCGTATTACTCCATCACTATTGAGAAATGATGAAGTAGTCAATTTTTTTTACAGTTGTCATTCTTGCATTTATCGCAAGGATCCGACTCTAATTGAAAGGTCCCGCTATTTATACCCTTCAGAGTGTTGGAACACCCTCCAAAGGCGCGCCCCTTTGTCAGTCAAAATTGGATTCCTCAGTCCACATAGATGAAGACTAACTAACTCATTTTTTCCTTGTGTCAACATCATCCTCGGTGGACAAAGCCGAGCCTTGTCACTATCAACAAGGCATAAAAAGTAACAAGGACTTTTTTTTTTTTCCTCTGTTCGGGACATAACACCGCTGCGACCAGTAATTTGATCTATTGTAGTATATCCCGTGTCCTTAGTTTAGTGCATGTCGTATTACTCCATCACTATTGAGAAATGATGAAGTATTCGGTTTTGATACAGTTGTCATTCTTGCCTTCATCGCAAGGAATCGATTCTAACTGAAAGGTTCCGCTATTTATACCCTTCGGAGTTGGAACACCCTCCAAAGGCGCGCCCCTTTGTCAGTCAAAATTGGATTCCTTAACAACAAAAACAAGCTATGACACCGATAATGACCATGCATCAGAACCCTAGTCTTAACCACTTCAAACTAGGGAACAACGATTAGAAGATTAGGAATCACATAGATGAAGACTAACTAACTCATTTTTCCCTTGTTTCAAGATCATCCTCGGTCCAGGCAACCCGAGGACTTATCACTATCAACAAGGCATAAAAAGTAACAAGGACTAAGATGTGTTCCTTTGATTACTGAAAAATCCTGTTCCCCTAGTTTGAAGAAGTTAGGACTAGGAATCGGTGGTAAATCTTACATCCCGTAACGTACCACGAAAAGGTGATCTACCCACGTTACGGGGCAAATCAGAAGATACCATGGTGATCAAGAATTATTCAAGTCTTGGAGATCAAAGATCCTCATAAAGTCCTTAGGATATTTTATTCAAGACTACAGGTTGATCAGGAATTATGCTTAAGATCTCCAGCTGTTCAACAATTCAAAACATGTCTCCCGGATTTGCTCTCAAAATACTCCAAAATCTCCAAGTTGATTAACGGTCTTCAACCTATGGATAT